TAGCAACTGTCCTTGCACCTTTCGTAGTTGTAACTATGTTGGTATATTGCAGCTGGTTGTATAACCAGGTTATATTGTGGCATAGGCTGGATGATCTCTTTTGGGTGTTTCTCCCCAATTTTTTTTTTGGCATGGTTTCCAAATTTTTCTCTTACATACAAAAAAATACTGGTATTACGTATATGGAACGGCGGACTCGACCATGGTAGAATTAGCCGTTTTCCCGCGGACTCGACCATGGTAGAATACGCCATTTTCCCGCGGACTCGACCATGGTAGAATACGCCATTTTCCGGCGAACTCGACCTTGGTAGAATTAGCCGTTTTCCCGCGGACTCGACCATGGTAGAATACGCCATTTTCCGGCGGACTCGACCATGGTCGAATTAGCCGTTTTTCGGCGGACTCGACCATTGTCGAATACGCCATTTTCCGCAATGTTCGAATACGAGGACCAGCTACAAGTTTCGAGATTGTAGTGTTAGAAGTAAGAAATGCATGCTGTATTCTATTTATAGCATTTCGAGGGTTCGACGCTAACAATGAAACAGAAAATTGTTTGCCTATCCACAAGTGCATAGGCGTATTATGAACGCAAATGATCAGGTTGACTAAGTGCGTGGTAGTAAGCAAGCATTCTCGAAACACTGAGTAAACTAATTGTACTGAGTTAATTCGTTTTGAAGGGGGAACATATTTTACGTTAGCAACCAGAGGGAGCTTAAATTTAAAGTACACACAGATTTTCTGATCTTGCGCAGAACATGCGTCAGAATGATATTGGTAACGTATGATACGAGTATATGGTGGGAAAGGGCACAGGGCTGCTCCTGTTTGCCCCGTGGGTAGAGGGCAGCGAGGACAACCATCCCATGTACCCCAGTGGCTCCGGCGCCAATGGAAGCATGAAATAACCCGGACGGCAAGAGAAAAGCGAGGCTCTGCCTGGATCCAAAAGATCGAAATAACAATATCCGCAGACTAGTGCTATAAAAGAGATCCACGCAACACTCCACAATTTTTTTTTCTTGTGGATACAAAAGAAATACTGGTACATTGAACTGAACCTGTTAATCAGGTGTGTACATTGGCGTAGATAATTGCATGGGTGGGGGGCATATTCATATATTCATCTTAAAAGACTGTACTCAATTCCACAGGAATGGCCAAAAAATTATTATCTCGGGGTCCACTGAGGGCGACCAAGCCTTCCTCTCATGGTCAGCGCCTGCCGTGTTAATAATGTCAGGCTACATTCAGAAAAGTTATCATTTAACTATTTAAGCAGAAGCGTAGCTATTTTAGCCACACCAGTCATGTTTGGCCTCCTCGACCATTGCTTAGGACGACATAGCAAGCTAGAACCCTCAGTCGAGACTTGCGCCTCCCCAAACATCATAGAAGCACCGTCAAAACTTCAAGGATTCCTGCTCAAACTGATATCTGGCGGGGAGAATCCATACAGGTTGACGCATCTGAAATGATGGGCAAATATCTAGTGATTAATATGATCACAAAGAGCACTATTGTAGAACCCACAGCTGAACACGACGTATATATTTATACCGGAGAGGACATGACCCATTGCCATTGGTGTAGGGCACATTAAGAGAGCAGTTTCGGGAGATAAGATCATGATTAGCCACGATTTTCTCCGGTTGGCCAGGCTCTGGGGTGCAGGCGACATTGCTCAAAAGGTGCGAGCTCGTCGGGGAGGATGGCTTCAGACTGAAAGAAAATCAGATAGAAATGCCCAATAGAAATACACAACTCGGCAACCAGGGTAAAACAAAACGCTTTTGGTTTTGTGTTAGACAATCAACGATATCCATCAGAGGCCGGCTGTACAAAACTGATAACTACATCTAAGTTTGTTAAATCGACGTTAACTTGAAAATACACGATTATGATAAACCAATTCTCCTTGATAAGTTAAGGGGCGAGGTGAACGAGCATGTTCATGTCAATATTGACCAACTTTTCTATAATGGATAATGACCAATGTTTCCATTCGCGAACGGGAAATATGTTTCTACTTTCAAATTTGCACCTGGTTTGCCCAAAATATTCAGAAATAATATTATCAATGAAGCTCAAGTTGAATATATAAATTATTATCCTTAATGACCGTTCCCAGCTATTTCGCGAGAGTGCCAGAGCAAAGCACAGTTAAACTGAGTTCAATAACCATTGCTGATTTTGGCAGCGAATACATAAAAGAATACTTTCTTCTCAAATGTAAAAAAAGAGACGGAAAAGCCTGACATTTAGTTCAACTTGCCACTACCAAGAGTCCAATAGCGTGATGAGACTAAATGAAAAAAGTCAAAAAGACGAAGAGACGAAATAGTGCCCATGTATTGAATGACCCCCATCGACGGCAACCTAACTTCGCCATTGGAACAGCTGACAACCTAAATCATTCCCGCCAGAAAGATTACAACACCCGCCGTAAGATATGGTTAGTCATTGTTTTGTTCAACGTGAGAGGGTTGTCTATAGAGCAAAACCACTAAACGAAAAAATATTGTTTCACTAATGCAAGATTATGAAATTCTTTAGATAAAATAGTTTTCTATTTCCAGCCAATTGAAAGCATCAATTTAGACGTGGTTGAGAGATACCCTTGACACCGTGAAATTCATAATTCTATCAAACATCAACATTACTTTTCGACCTCAACATCAAACTCTGACCGCTCCACCTCAGATGAGCGTATGTTTTTATCAAAACGGTGGAAAATGGAAACCGCGATAATTCCAGGCTCGTGGGTCTTCGTGAGAAAACTTGCGTGATCCTGAATGGAGTGGAGACCAGTTTTTTTTGGCATCCACCATTCAAGTGTTGTTTGCAAGGCTATTATCGCCCTGTATAATTGACGTTTTACGTTTTTGAGACCAGTCACGTAGTCACGCCCGTTAATGGCGGTAAACTATCACGTTTTTTGCATGTACACGTGCACGCGCGTAAAAGCACACGCACGTAAAAGCAGTACCCGGCCACCTTACACCCTGGTAACGAGCTGTTTACACTATACCCATGTAAATATCTAATGATTAATATGATCACAAAGAGTCTTAGAATATGAGGGCCTAAGATTAGCCAACACATTAAATGACATACCCCAGTAAGTGCTCAATTCCACCCACAATTCTAATGAAAATTACGAAATAACTCACTTTGGCAAAGCACGTTCATTCAACTGATTTAAGTGCTTGAATATTAATACTCTCAGTGAACCGGCCGACAGGAATTAACCCGCAATGTCGCTTCATTTGCAAACAAATTGCACGCCATACATTAGACAAAACGTCACAGAATGCCTCAGCTGATGGCATCTCCAGAAAATTCTACATTAATGAGGAATTTGTAAGGTCACAAAAGATCGCAAAAATTTGCATGATGAATATGGATTAAAAACGCGGTAATACCAATGAAATAGTTCAGTCCATCAGGTTTTGTAAACAAAAACTGCTATTGAGTGAGATATCATATCAGCTTCCGTAGGATAGCAATATTCTTGATGATATTCATTCCAATGCAAAAACGCTTTGCCTTCAGTTAAATTTTGGTTTTATATCGTTTCGTTAACCATATGACATATTCGCCAAAACATTATTTTAGTGCGAGGCATGCGAAATATCTCTCAGCGGTGGTTTCCATGCATGGGAAAACGTCGTAATTGTTTTTAAAGAAAACACACGGAACTCAAAATTCATTGAAAGTTCTTGTCCTGTAACACTGAACACTAAATAAGGGATGGATATAAGTGATCAGACCTGGATATAAAAGTCGTAGGCAGACATAATAGGAAGAGATGCTTTTATGTCCTTTTTAGTCACATTATTTAGTACTTAGATATGAGGTATGGTAAACTTGCATAATTGCAACTTTTATAGACTGAGAAACAGTCAAGTACCCAAGCTGTCACACAGCTGTGATTGCATGGGCTAACCAGGATCAAAGTCCTTTTTGAAATTTGTTCTACAGTAAACCAACCATTTCTTGCTCATATATGAGCAGTGAAAATTAAGGGTCGATTATACCATTTTTGTTAAGGAAGAAATCTACGTACGGCGTCGTACGAGGAAGAGGAAAATGACTGTTTTGAATTTAACCAGTGTCATTGCGGGGAACACCATGCGAAGCTGTGGTACTACCACATGAATTCCGTATTTCTGTTAAACACGGATTACAGTGGCCAATACAAAATTCTGTTGCTGTTGTGTTAGCTCGTGTTTCCTTGGTCACACTGGTTATCAGCCAGTCTTTCTCTATCTTAGTTCGGCAATATCTTTTGACATATCAAAGTATTTAATGGAATTTCGACATTTCTACTTAGGCTACTTAATTTTTCTAAACGAAAGGCTTGATTCGATCGTCAAAGCGTCGGATTATCAACATTATTTTATTTGGAATCAAACTGAGATTGATCATAATGTCATCTTACGAAACATTCAACCGCAGTATTCCGTAACAGAAACTACACAGCTAGCATCTAAAATTATAATTATTGCTTGATCTTTCAAGCCTTCAACATTTGGTAGCTGGGAAATTTTTTAACGTTTTTAAAATATCATGCCGACTATTGAAGCAAAAACGTGCGAAATTCCTTAGTTAATTGCACACAAGTAAGTGATAACACATCATTTACGAAAAACAAATTGTTGATCTCAATGGAATGTGCCAATGTCCATCCTGAATAGAGAATTTAGTCACATCATTGAACAACTAGTTTGAAAAGTAGTAAGAAGGAAACATATATTTATTGCATGGTTTTCAATAATATGTATCTATTTGAGAAATAATGGCTTGGGAGATTACGGCCAATTTATATAAACACTAGTTACAACTTTGATAGGAGGAGCTGGAATGTTGCAATGGCATTCCAGTTGCCTTAAATGGCTTAATCTAATTGTTATATGTCACTCATTCTGTGGCGAGCTGTGCCAAATATGGCTTGCATAAATTACGTTAATGTATTCACCGCTGTAGTTAGCATACGCGATATCTGTAAGAATATGGCGAAGTATGGACACTTGTGAGAGTTTTGTTTATCATTGGAAATTATATAATGCGGAGAAACAGTAGACACGGCGAGGTTCCTTTACCTGAAGGATGGGAGAAAGGTGTAGATTCAGCTGGTAGGACGTATTTTATAGACCATGTAAACAAGAAAACTACATGGATAGATCCTCGCGACAGGTACACGTCTGAAATACCATATGTTAAATGGAATGCGTAGAAATATCGCCATAATAATACGAGTTTTCTTCGCTTTCCTCTACTGTAGTATATTCCTTTGCTCTTATTTTGGTCTGGCATAGCTCTAGTGTTAAAATTTGAGAAATACTGCTTATGTGGTTGATTTTATACAATACTTAATCTGCTGTTCGATATAATATCTCGTGTATTATAAAATATATTCTACCTAATTTAAAGTTCGTATATGGAAGTATACCAAGAATGAAAGATAACAGAAACTCAATTATTATTTATCTAAAACACTGTTTTGAAGTCTAAGTTTAGTTCAAAACTGGAATTGAATTAAAGTTGTGTGAGTGAATTCTACAGGAAGTGTCGTTCATTGTTATTTAAAAATATTATTCATCAGGAATCTCAGGAATTATATTATTCGAGAGTTTCAAGGTAGGATGTTTGTTCCTGCTAGATACTTAAATGGTGTCTAAACTCTAAACTCGTGACTTGTTTCGAAAACGAACCATATGATAACTGGCCTTTTGTTAGAGAATATAATTTGTAGAATTATTATACCAATATGAAGTATGGTTTTTAAAATCGTAATTCTTTTAAAATTTACAGCATACTCGTCGAGACTAGAATAACTTTCCAATATAGATACACACTGTATTAGACTGTATATCAGCGCTTTTAAAAGTATTACATCAATGTTTTGTTAAAAAATGCAGTGTATTAAATGATATATAGAATGTGAAATTAAATATCCGAGCTTTGATCATGAGAACATCAATTTCAGAAACAACCATTACAACAATAGCCAAGGATATTTTCCCTGTGTGTGTTTATTATTACTTTTTGTGCTTATAATATATGCTTTGAGGAAAATAAATTATAGCATCTTTTCATTTTATTACATGCATTTTACTCAAATTTCATTATACTATGAAGTACTATAAAAAAATGATGTTTTAAAACATTGTGCTGTATGTGAAAAGATAATCAACGTAATTGTGTAAAATGGCAAATTGTGTAAAAGAAATTGTGTAAAAGAAATTGTGTAAAATGGGACTACCAAGACTGTACACTTGGTTGAGGGAAATAGTGTATATAGAAATATAATACACAATCTACATTAAGAACATCATAAACATTACAAATTGTTCAAACATTGTACGTTTATGAGGTTTCTTCAAAATATTCTATAAAGCAGTATTTTATAACCCATATATTCAGTTATAATATGCTTCTTTCATAGGTTAACAAAGCCGCTGACATTTGCAGATTGTGTTGCAGATGGTAAGTATAATTAATAAAGCTTCTCAATCAAAATGTTTGCTATGAAGTTGAAATGAAACCACCAGCTGCTTGCTCTCAGCAGGTCATATCACAACCACAACACACACATGGCTTTTGTTTGTGCTAAAATTAACCACAAAACTCTAAAAATATTTATGCATATAAACACTCAAAATTCTCATGCAAACAAATATTTTGTTTTATTATATGAGTGATAGTTGTAACGTTTAAAGGAAATTATACCCTGAATGAGTAAATATTATTGACGAGGATTGTATTTCAGTCATATCTTTCTGTGATGCAAAATCAGTTTCCTCATCTTATACTTTTGTTGAACCATATCTGTGGCCTGTTTATTGTCACCACTTTTGCAGTACCCTAACTGATTCCTTTGTTTCACATTTGGCCTCAGCAGCTGCTTCCTGATTGTCGATATTTCAAAACATAACTCATTTCCATATTACTAAATATTATACTTCATGTATATTTTTCATTTTATAAAAAGCTGAAATGAACAATAAAGAAACCGATAATTGAAGTACTTCCTTATTAGTTAGATCTAATTAAATCTTTAGAATACTTCAACATAAATTATCCCATTTATTGGCAATGCACAAATGCATGAACTTTAAAAATTATCTCTAAACAATTAGTGGTAGAAAAATAAGCTGCTAATTGTGTTAAAAAACTGTATGCCAAAATCTCTTTTAAGCACTTGTACGTCCTGGCACAAGTAATGCAGGCCTGCCTCTTTTAGCATTCACATTCGAACTCCTTTGCAATGAAAATAAGGAATGAATTATTTTTTATAGAATTACCTTATGGCTGGGAAGAGATTAAGGATCCACATCATGGAAGAAGCATTTATATTGATCATAACACAGGTATAGAAACTTTGTATTCATTGGTACACAATACACTGCAGCAGCTCCCAGCAGTGTGTTAGGATCCATGTTAGGATCAGATTACTTTGGTATATAGCATTGGTAGAAAAATACAAGCCATCTTATTGCATATTAAAGATAGAATATTATGCATATAATTCATGCACACTTTCGTTTTTTTTTATTCTGCTAATGTATTCTACCAAAGTAAGTGAGTGAAATGTATATATATATACTGTAATATCTCAAAAATTTTAATTTTTTGGGAATAGCTGTGATGGCTTCAGTGATTAATGTTAATGAGATTAACATACCAATTGTCTAATCAGTCAATACCAAGCAGAGATTACACCTTGCATGTTGAATCAAATTCACCAAGCTTACTAAATGACTAGCAGCATTATTTTTTCATGCTCTTATTTAATAAGCAGTTTTAAAACAGCTGCACCTTGGACAAGTCCACCCTTCTATTAGTTTGGTATTCTACTCTCTCTCTCTCAACATAATATTTCACTTGTCATTAGTTCCACACTTCCAGTTAATGGATTAATCAATTCATTCAATTTCCCTCTCAGACAAAAGAGTTTGTTCAAGTGTTCAGACAGTTAAACATTTAAAAACTGATTGGTTTCCTAGCATGTACTTGAAAATGATTTTAATTTTGATATTTCATATATTCATTTCGTACATAAAGCAATGTTCAAAATCTACAAAATTCTTGTGTATTTCGCACCAAAACACACTTGTGTATTTTGACTCATTTTTTATTGTCTTCAGAAAATATGCAAGTGGAGGACCCAAGAAAACAGTGGCGGAAAGAACAGGAGAAAATGTTAAAGGATTACTTAATGGTATCACATCACAATCTTCAGGTAATTGAAGTCAGATTGTCAGAATGACCTGCAAATTTAACTTATGAATTTTATGTTGCTTTTAATGTATTATGTTCCAACAACTGTACAACTCTTTCAACACCACTTACTCAACACTACTTACGACTGTGCTGTTATGGTAATCTGCTGTGCAGTGCTATATTAGAGTACCATAACTACACTTCCACTGTACTAGTACACTTACTGTATATATCACTGTATTAACTATACCCTTACTGTGTAGTTTTACATTGACATTGTACTAAAATCTTACTGTAATATTATACTCTCACTGGTTTTTATAACAACTGTTCGTATTTTAACAACAATTGCGGGACAGATTCACCAATAATATCATTATATTTTCATAGGCTAAGCAAGACGTGTTAAATATGAAACAGAAAAGGCTTCATTTAGCGGAAGAAGAGGTATTGATTGTTGCAGAAAAAGAACGTACACGTATTGATAAACAGACTCTTGAATTAACCAACATTAGCAATGAATCACCAGTTAGTACTGAATGTAATATTTTCCTATGTCTTTCCTACAGTACATGTATTTCATGTCGAAACTGGCGTGTAAAGACGGGCAACATATTCGTGGAAACCTGCCTGTTCTACCAGTGAAACCAATCGCAACCGGACGTCCAGTCGTAACTCAGTCTGCTCGTACTTGTGAAGAAAGAAATGATTGTGATCAGGACGAATTGAGCGAGCAAATTGCAAACTCACGATCAAGAGTAAGTTCCTATCTAATAATATTTCCTTTAAAGCTTAAGGCTCAGAAAGATCAATGCAATTTTTTTTATACCTACATGCGTGCATCAGACAAAAGCTGTGAATGCTTGATTTCCAGTCCACTATAAGCGAGAAATTTAAAGTATTCGTGGCGTCTGTGATGCAATCTTTTGTAACGAAAGTTTAAAAAATAATGGTGGTCTTGTGCATTTAGTATAGATATACAGGTATACATCCTAATTATTGTCATTTCGATCTTTCCTATCGTTTTTATATTGTTCTTCTTCTATATCATGTCAAGGTTGCGAAGCTGAAACAAGACATAGCAAATTTCAATGAAGAAATTCTATATCAACAGTCTGGTGTAAGAACGCTGGAAATGTTTGATGAAAAACTAAGAACTGAGAATACTGACCACCAGGAAGTACAAATTGGTCGTGTTAACGAGTTAAAAAATATCGAACAAAGTGTAGACAGCGAAGAAAAACAACATCAAAAACTCATTCAAGATCTTATAGTATTGAAGAAGAAGTTTTCATTTCACTCTGGGAGCGAGGAGTCTGGATCAGAGAAGGTTTGTTTTATATTTATATGTGGTTTATATGGTTCCATAACGAGTCTCATATCGTAGAATTATCAATTAAAACGGCTGGGAAACATACAGTTTTCATGAAATCCGTCTATAACATGCAAGAAAGTTGAGCATGCTGTGAATTATAATACAAAACAATAAACGTTTCGTAAATCATTATAATTTTATCTCAACGTTGCGACTTGTGTTTTACAGTCATCCGTGGGAGAATGCCACCCCCGCTAACTTCGCTGAAGTGAAGACATTTCTCGGTTAGCTGTTTAAAACATGCGCATTCTGCTGACGTTGACTGCAAATACCCGTCAAAAGGTTGAGAGTTTAAATATCACAGCCGGATTAGATTATTTTCGGTGGATTTTCACAACTCACATTTCTGCCGTCATTGCGATTCTCCCAGAAATACAGGCAAAAACAGGCTCTCATTAAACTATTCTAGGACAGTAGGCCTGTATATAAAATAATCTTCAGTTCCACTCATCGCAAAACTAATTCGCAAACCCAATGTCAGCGCTTGCATCTAATTAATATAAACAATCGATCACGTGATCATACTCGCCGAGAGCATGTGATATTGGTCAATATTGTGCATATGTGCATGATAAAGATTTTTGTTTCATTATCCTTGAGATAGTAAGGAAATAACCGCGCAAATTCGCAATCTAAGACGTACGGCGCTACACATTGAGGAATTTCAACAATTTTTAAGATCCGTCATTGCCAGCGTGCCGTGACGGAAAAATCTGGCGTAGTCTGAGCGGGGGAAAATTGTAAAGTTGTTATACAAGATCCAAAAATATTTTACTAATTCGGGAAAGAATTTGATAATTTAATGGTGCAAACGTCGTAATTGAAGAGAGCAAAAACAGTCATTGAACGAGACTAAATCATTTACCTAAAGATTTCCTGGCGGGAATTTAAGATTTTGTTGAAGTACCCGTGAAAATTGGTACAAAAAACATTATTGAAAAACACTGAACTTGGAAGTACGAGGACAAAATTCAATTAAGATATTCATGGTATGCACGTAAATATACTTGAAATTGAGACACGTTCAAGGGGGGGTATGATTACAATAAAAGACCGTTTGTCTTTTAATAGCTCGTGATAGTATGCAAAATATTTTTGAGAAATTTTTCGTAGGCCTGTATGTTTCCTGTTATAGACATTAAGTGTCGGTTTTTCGTTGTTCACGGCAGGGAAGTTTGTCAAAATTGAGCAGCGAATGTGGTGGTTCAGATGTATCACTGTCTCGTTCATATTCGGATCTTAATCGACGTCAGTTGGAGATTGAATCCGAGCAGGTGCTGGCAAAAGTCGCTCAACTACAAGATGAACTCGATAGTGTTGAACAGAAATTAATGAGTGTAAATATGCAAGATTACATTCTTCTTATAAACGAAAGAGAAGAGTTTCTGCTACAGCTAGAAAGATCATCGAGTATCGAGCCTGATTTACAAAAGAAGGTATGTGGGCAGTTATATATACGTACAGTTGTCGCGTGTATAGAGACGATCAAAAACAGCTTAAATTCCTCAATGTCTTGCTCGTTGGCTATACTACAAACTCGGGTAGACATAGTTGTACTATGGCTTGGCTTAACGGTAATTATAGATTTGGTGTGCCAAATTTGGGAGAGATAACAATTTGGTATTATATGCAAGTCGGAAAAAATACCTTAGTGAAATCCAAAGCTTCCTACGATACTTAAGTAAAACTACGCTGTTGTCTTATTGCTATTATATGCATGTATGTACATTTGTCAATGCCATGCATTTCTTGCTGCATTTTTGAATTTTGACCACCGCTATAGACGTTTAAACAAGGAGAGAGAGCGATTTTTGTTGGTATAGTCATTTGTCGTCATATATGGATAGTGCATGGTTGGGAAATAGTTGGCTGTGTGTGCATGCTTTCCTTTGTTTATATCATCCTGATATTTGCGAGAAATCCTTTCGGAAACTATACTCTTAATAATCGTGTATAGCTATTTACTTATTTACGAAGGACTACAATATATATGAGCATCTTGATGTTTTTCAGTAAAGACTCCGAACGCAGGCGGCTGGTTTATTGCGTTACAATGGCGGATAAAAAAAATTTTCGTATGATATTGTTGGTCTAAATTCCTAATGAAAACCTCATTTTTGCTGTTTCCTAAAAACTAACAGAAAATTCAAGTATAAAAAAGGGATTTCACTTAGCTATCTATCGTTATATGAAAAATGCTTGTGGAATGTGAAAAATTGTAATTTAGCCGCAATTGAGATAATTATAATTTTCATTCTTGGCGTAAAGAATAAACATTTCATTTAGTGTTGAAATGTAGTTCATTAAGGTGAATTTGTCCGCGGAGTTGTTTATCATTTCACAAATGAATATTAAGTTTTTCTGGTCTATATCACGGGTCCAACTGCGTCAAAGGCGACAAAAATATAATTTATGGAATTTCCGTTTCCAATGAGAACTTGGCATTACATCTCTTAATTGCTAGGCAACATGCTTCTTAATCACATTGAATGTTGTGAATTTATAAAGCTGTTATTGCCTCCGGGCTTTATCTTTCCACATCAAAGTGACAAGACATTAAGAAGGTGGACAATTCCTAAGATTTTGTTGAAATCGAATGGGTATTTAAAATACTGTTCTTTTTGCTTAAACTTGATAAAGTTATTTAGTTTAGTAACATTTGTAAGTATAGTCTTTATGGTTGAAGATTTACAGCAGGATTTAAGTTTTTTATGCTGGAACATTAGGTGAATTTAGTGGATTTCGATGACAGACATTAACTGATACAGCAGATAATCTTAATCACTTGTCATTATTGTGAAGTTCTACTTATTCTTCATTTAGATGCATTTGGACATGGAAATGAGGAATGTCTCTGACGAGTTAAAATTAGCGAAGATGGATTATGAAACCGTTGTTAGGGAGAAATATCGGCTTGAAGATCATAAGAAATCGTTGGTTAAACTTCTTGCAGAAACATTGAAGAGGAGTAAACTATTGACTGCTCATTTACGCAAGTACGTTGCTTAAGATTGATGAGAGAAAGACCATCATGCATTGTCTTTGAACACTGAAGAAGTAGGACAGTGTCTTGCCAAAACTAAATATTAAACTCGATTGTACAAAATAATTCAGGACTGGAGAGTGAAAAAAGAATCACCTGATATGTTTCCGATAAAATCCCATTTTACCGTTCTTATATCGTTGCCATTTTTTATGTCCAGTTTGTTTATTTAACCTTTTCTTAACCTCGTTATATCTAGCATGATGGGCAGTGGCCATTCTGTGTCGTCATGTAATAGTTCTAGTCGAGGCTCATTAAACTCCAGCCGTGGAGCTCAAAGTCGTGAATCCCTATCATCAAGTCGAGGTTCCATGTCTTCTGTCAATCAAACAGACAGCGGAGCTGGACAATATGAACCTAACTTTCGAGAACTGCATCAACGTGTTAGTGATATTTTGCAGGAAATATCGTCCACCTCAACTCAATCATCACAAACGGCGACTCCGCGAGGAACAATTTCTCAAATATCGTCATCTTCTAAAGACTCGCTCTCAATGTCGTCTGTGTCTCCACCAACGTCACCAGGATCATATAACCCGTCTCCAAGGAATTCAGACTTAGCTCTAAATAATATAAGAGTATCTTCCGAGTTGACACCGACCTACACAGACAGTATAATGAACGAACGAACTCCAGCAAATCCGGATGCACTAATGTTACAGTTAAATCGCTTTCGTTTTGGTAATGATACAACAACCGCGTTGTCGCCAATAACTGAAGGTATTCCATCAAAAAGTCATGTTGCAAAACAGGGTGTATCTGCAGCTGTTTCTGATGAAAGTGTGGCGGCTGATAGTGGTGTGTTTGTCTCCTCTATGGAAAACCTGCGACGTCAGAACAGTATGAGATCTAGTGGACAATGCAGTGATGATGATGGAATTGAGGCACCACAAATAAAAATAGGTTTGGGTTATGTGGAAGAGAAGGAACAATTATTAGTGTGTATTGATGAAGCAAGTAGTTTACGTTTACTTGGTTCTTGTGATGGATGTCTGGGTGTGAGAACTAAGGTCTGTGTGCTTCCACTTGCATCAGCCGCTGATGTGTATTCAACTTCAGTCTGCAAGGATCTTCGTCGTCCTGTATTCAGCGAACAGTTCTTCGTTTCTCTACCAAAGGTATATGCCTCCATTTGCCTTCATTTGTCTTCAACTAATATTAAGATACACAATGAGTGTCGAAAGTAAATGTCGTTCATTTATCCTTCTCGTTTCTTTAACGTAAATCAATTTTATCTTGTGCTAGATCTCACTGTCGCGCAGGATTTTACTAGTTGATGTTTGGGTGGTTGATGAGAGAAATAACGAGTCAATGCTGGTAAGATAATGTATTACTTCATGTTATGCTCCACTCTACGTGTCTAATTTATGTATCTTATTCCCAGGGAGGTTGTCAGATTGGTTTAGAAGATTTCAATATTCATTCGCCGGTGACATTCAGATGGTTTAATCTTCTTAGTTCAACTTCAGTTGTAAGTATTTTGAAACACTTCACAGTATCGGACAAATTAAACTAGAATTATATATACACGGTCTTTAAAACTTCTAAAAATATTTCAGTATTTCTCGACGGCAGTGACTAAACATCAAGGCAAGACCCCTTCGACCTACGAGAGCTTGAGATCCAGACCAAACTCATGGGTATGTCATAGTCATATTGTATTTGATTTATAACAAAATATATAACAAATCATAACCTCCAAACCGTTTCTCTTAACATAAGTGTGCTGAAAAACGACCGTTATTTTATCTCCAGGGCGGGGATGTTTTGAACGCAGCAATATCAAGCGGCAAAATGTTTTGCGAAGGATCATTAAGTCAGGAAGATGGTTTAAGCAGATCCTGTGGCGCTACAACTTTCCTCGACATGAACAAGAATTGTAAACAACAATCGCGCATGCGCAGTAACGATTCCTTGAGCAGCGCACAAAGTCAAGAGAGTGGTGTGGAGAAGGACAGCAGATCACATAGTTCCAGTTCATTGTTGGAGAAGATGTCTCAGGCGATAGCCAGGAGGAAGAATTCAGATCCGAAAGCGGACGTTCACGAAATTAAGGTGTGCATGTGCTCGATACGAAACAACCTACTGAGTCTAGGTGTCGCCACAGCTATATGTTTAACAGCTCTAAAACATATCACTTGTTTTTTTATGGTTTTGTTTTTCTGACATGAAGTGTGAGGCTTAACAGTCATAATAATAAAATGCTTTTGTTGCGTAGTGTGAAGAAGGTCCGGTACCCTGGAATCCAACCATGACTGAATTTCAGAGACGTCAAATCACCGTCAGTCGCAGTAACTCAGATTGCACAGCAAAAAGAATGACAGGAAGCTCAACAAACCATTTTATTCGACATTTTGTTGATAGATCAAGCTTCAAACGAAAATCGGTGAGTATTTACAGTCAAAATCTATCGTAAACAACCCGATTTACACTTTCAACATTTTTAAATCTTTCCGTATATTTCACAGTATTCAAGTACTGCCAAAATTTACCCAAAATATCTTCTATATCTTTCATCTATAGCGACCTGTATCTTGGCAACAGCCACCATCTTGGATCCAAGGCAACCCAACAGCCCCAGTTCAACCATCACAAGGGAGTGATTATCTTGGTGGCAGTAGAACATCTTTGGATATTGAACTAGAGCTGGAGGCATCGAAAGCCAAACAGGTGAGGATGATCTTTACATTTATCTAGGATTGTCCAAATCCTTAGTTTAGGCTGTCTGAGATCAGTTATGCATGTGATTTATTTTATTATGAACTTATTTGTTAGATCCAGTTGGGCAAAGAAAATGCTCGCTTGCAAGAAATGAAAAGAATAATGGAAGCAGCACAGTTGAACGGTTCAACTGAATTACCTCCCTGGCTTGTAGAAAATAGAGATTTTAGAAAATTCTTGAAAGAAGTAGAAAAGGTGCTCTATTTTTATAAGTTCAGCGGCTTATAGTTCTCCTATATTATTATAAATTAACCTTTTTCATACAAACGTTTACTTAATTTTTTTTAGGATTCTGTTCAACCAAAAGATTCGGTAGTTTCTTCCGTCCCTCAGGCGACACCTGGGCAGAATCCACAAAGGGGAACAAAACAGGACGAAATGAAGAAATTCAAGTAAGTAAATGAATGTGCTCATGTCTGCTTTTATTAATCCTTTTATAGCCACGCCGTGATGGTATTATGGAGGAAGTATTAAATTATATATATCTAACTGTTTGATTACCACCAGTGGCCTCGCTTAATATCTGGTGATAATCCCGGTCTAAGCTCTAGCTCAGATCAGAACAACAACACCCCAAAATGGATTACGCTTTTTTGTACGGTACTCATGCAGTGGTTTACATACTGTTTTTAGCAACATTGTCCTAACTCTGTAGCCTATAAAGAAATAATTTTACTCGGCATATGCCATGGAGTAAAAAATGACTATTTTTCTTCCAGAAATAAAATGGACTTTATAACGAGCCTACGTCTTCGCGTGCCTCAACCACCGTCAGACATGGAAAAACCTTGTCTAGTTTAGCATAGTTATGTACATAATAATATTATCAGTAGTTGACAAAGTCGATATATATTCAAAAAATTTAACCCCAAATATCTATTATTTTATATAATTATAGTTAAAACATTTAAATGCTGGTGAAAAAGGCACACTTTAACTTAACCGTTTGTATTATCGATGGGACAATTTATAAAATGGGACACCATCTTCACCTAAATAATATTTATTTAAAATATTTGTTGGATCAACGTGCGAATTATGTACTATATATAAATGACATTTACTATTGTAAATTATATAAATATATTGATACAGTTTTATGTATCAAGCAAAATTGTCATGAAAATGTGGCATTTCTTTATAATCCTATGCGACAGATAGTTGCAGTATTCATGCCAGAGATGTTTAATCTCCGGGTGTTGCACTGCAGAATTACAATGCTTAATGGAATTACAATGCTTAATGGTTAATATAGGTTGATCTTTAAATTTGTAGACCCCCCTCTGTTATATAACCCTGTGACTCTACTTACTTTGAAAGATGTGGAAAAAGCGTGGGTTCTAAGACCCGGAGTGCATGGTTGGAATGTCTATAATCACCATAGGATTTATTTCGCTATTTTAGAAATGTGTAGGTTATTGAATTGCCACATTTACATGCATGCATGTTATGTTGTTTTTGTATGTGAGATTGTTACCAGGGTTATGGAGAACTTTATACCCAATTGCAAGATGGTTTAAATTTAACTTCTTGCCACAGGTTTTAATGAGTGTATAACACTGAGAATGTAGTCATATTATGAAGCAGTTCCACGTTACGCAAACATATATGTGATATATATATATAACAAAAATTTATCATGACATTGAACCTCAGCATATATTTTACATAAAAAGTATTTTCCCACGAAAATATTTCTTTGTGTTGTGTAGGCAGTTAATTAAGTGGATTTATATAAGACTATTATATGTTTTCCACACACAGAAAAATGTTTGATACATGTAGCACTTAGCCATGCATGCTTGAATTTCAACATTTTAGTTGTTTTGAAATTGTGGTTCGTCGGTGTTATCAAAAAGATAAGGAGATGATTCTTCACAAATTGTTTTAATTTTTGGTATTTTTAACGAATTAACCACAACAGTAAATGTAAATGAACCTCGATTTAAATTGAAAGCCGTTTACGCCAGCTAGCTGCGGTTTCATCTTAGGATAAATTTCAGTGAGTGCTATATATCACAATATGTTTTGGGTAATGTTCATGCATCGTTGACGTCGTGACTGTATTCAACAACCTGTGCACTTGTTATGCTAGTGATTGTGGTTTAATACTATATATATATGCTTTTATATGTGGACATATAATTATACATATGTGGTAATATTGTGTTCTGTTTTCCTGGTTTATTGTTGTAGTGCAAAACATATTATATTCTAGACATATTCTATGTTAATCCAAAATCTTCTCTAACGAAGGGTATTTTGTACTCGCATTGCAATAAACTACCATATACGCAAAATGTTTCATCTTGTTTTCTTTTATTTTCGCAATTTTTGGTTTATGGAAGCCTGGCATATCAGTTTTGTCTATGTACGTTTGTACCGAGTGTTTGCCTGTATTGACAGCCAAACCATTCTTTCCCACCGCCGAATTGACTTTTGGGCACAATAGGGATAATAATACAGTTAAAAAAAGAACTGGATGTATTTTGGTGACTCTGATAAGGAAAGAAAGGTATGGAAAAATCTGTCGACTTAGTCTTTTAAGCTAGATACCGTCGACTTAATTACTCACTCTTTCCATAAATCACCATGAATGCATGATTATAGCTAAAGTCGCCCATAAGCAGAATAAACATGGATTTGGCTTAAAAATGAACGGTATTTTATGGAGAATTTGGTTGTACTTGTGGGGGAACTGCGCCTGAAGCATAGTTCTCATACATCACTGACAGTAAGCGATTATCGGCAGTCGATGAAGAAAAAACTGATTAAAAAAATACAGCCTGAGCAATAGCATTTCATTCGTCAGTGATCGATCACCAGCGATGGCCATCGGCGATTGTTGCAAAACGAGAACTAGAGTTCAGAAGGTATCAGCGATTTCTTTAGCTGAAAATTTTGACTTGTGGATCGTAGCTATCTCCTCCGTGTATCTTCATTTCATTTCTCAGCAAGTCTCTTTATATCAATCTTCAGTATCGCTCTCAGACATCACAGATTTCTTGTCTCGTTCCCTAATCTCCTCTCTATATTTACCGACTGATTGACATAACTTGTGTTCCACTTATTATAGCTTCATACTTACATTCTCCGACGCTTTTCAGATGAACATTCGTGCAATTCTGGGGGGTATTCATATCAAGTTTAGGAACATTGCAGAAGCAAAATATTCCTCATTCACACCCAATTCCACTTGATCAACAAAAAATCTGTCTCAGTGGGCGGCTATTGTTCCCTTAAAGTCTGGTTTCCGTTTAATCGTAATTGTCGAGAACAAGTCATTTTCACCGATGAAAAATAGTCGGATAATCCGAAACCAGGCATAAATATTTTTAAACTAATATAAATTAAATAATTTGGGTGTTAATGACTGAAACGTTTTGCCAGTAAAAATATATATAGAATGATTCTATGGCTATTTCATACTAAATGATTTCGCACTTTACAATAAGGATGTCTGTGACAAAAAACAATTTGATTAAATTGGATCTCAGTTGATGTTTGCACAAAAATAAAATTATTCGTACCTCGATCTGGACGGAACTGAAAAACCCGTCTCATTAAACTTTAAATGGTAAGGTGAAATCAGCAAATGCTCCAGCCTTTAATACTCGTACTATATAAATAATACAAGACACCTTGTATTCAAATACCACAAACGAGAACCTGGCCTTGGACAACGTAAAATATAGCCACAAGAGCGCTGTGCACGTGGGGGACTTCACTGAAGTCTAAACTTTTTCCAAATTCGACATCTCTTTCACGAGAAAATATTAGATATGGCACTTGAGCAAAGTAAAATGTTCTATGAGAGAAATAACTAACCGGCTGTAACCTTGAATATTCCAAGCTGTCGGCCAAAGTCAAAGAGAAAGTCGGTCGTTATTTAAAATGTCCCGCTGCTGCTGTATCGTCAAGAGAATAACTTTAGAATCAAACAAATCATTGATGACTTATTGATCCTCAAGATCAATGATTTTGAAGTGAGATAATCCCACAATCGAAGTACATATATGCGACATAAAAATAATTACAACTAACCACAGTTAATAGAATATACATGGTTTTGAGACCACATAAAACCAGTGATAAAACTACATTACAACTCATTAACTATGTTGAGGTAGATTTATGCAAAAATTGTTCCTTTCTCATCACATGTCTATTGTATTTTGCACAGATAAACCAATAGCAATCTTTTAATTAACATATTTTTCAAGTCAAGATTGAGGAGCTTAGCAAGACGAATGCCATTGGTAAATTTGGCTAAAATACAATAGACACGTGACGAGAAAGGAACCATGCAAAAGCATAAACCTGGACAATAACATAGTTCATTAAGTTCCACATAATGCATTTCCATTTGTATTGTACTTTTATTCTTGTGTTTTCTAGTTCCACTTTCAGAATACTTTAAGGCAGCAATGTCGGTCGTCGGATTCTTCCTTCCTTTGACTGCTTCAGGAAACACATGTTGCTGCTCGATCAAGATTGGTTTATATACTGCATAACTAGCCAAATTACCATTATAGTCTTGTTGTTAACCGTCAAGAGAACAAAAAAACAAACACAAAAAGCTAAAAAAGAGAAAACAAGAGCCTAGTGTGAATCAATAATTTCGATATATCAATTCTACCCTAGTTCACATGCACATGACGATAAGTCGCCAAATAGCGAATGAACAACTAATGCATTTGCGTACGTTTATTTTAAAAGCATGGTGACTGCATGCTGGAATAAACCATTCCATGTATTTCACCAACAAGCAACAGCCAAAAAAATGCTAAAACTAAAGCTTGCTCCAATATGTTGTAACATACCTAACATACCATGTACAGAAAAGAAATTACTAAAAGAAGCCTATTTTTGTCCTGATATAAATATATACTATATATTTATTTCTAGAAATTCAATTTGTACAAAACGGTCAAATGAATACGACAAATCAAAACGACATCAATGGATGCTATAGACAAGAACTGCAGGTATGACAATGCCACTCTGTTCTGTATTGTTACTACAGGACTTTTGATCACAACCAGAGTCTAGATTCCATTCCCCCTGTTGTTTATGTGTGTCTTTTATTTTCACATTAACTATGACTACTTTGATGATCACTTTCGTGTTCATGTTCTGTTTCTTCCAAACTATCGACCATAACTTCAACATAGGTCTGCACGGAATGCATCAGTGACACTTGGAACTCCATTTCTTTCACAAGCTAAAGAACAAAAAAGTACATATTGGTTTCTCTTATTGACTGATTACTAATGAAGACCTCTGGGTAACCCAGAGCAAGGGCACAAATGAGGGGGTGGGGTACCCCAAAGTAATCCACCGGTCGGTCCCTTATAAGGTGTTATATATACTATATAGTCCGTCCCAAAAGTTGAATGTTATGAAAATGAATATTCAATTCATAAACCAATGGCAATACTGGATACTCTAAGAAACATGGTAAACAGTGTGCCTAAGAGAGTTAGTACAAAGACGAGGCTGTTTCGACTTGCAGAACCCTCCCAATTCTAAAATATATACGCTGGGCGCAACCACAATCGTAATCGTTGTTCCTCCTATGGGGTAAAAAAATTGCATCATCACCTATCAGGAGTTAAAATTACGTGTGTTTAACGTGGCGAAGCACCTACCTCAGCATGCGTAGCGTCATCATTTAGCATCAACTTTCCTTCTCTTGCCGATGGTGATCTTGGTAACGTTTTATAAATATCTTTATAGTGTTCCTTCATTACATCTCCCAAACTATCCATGTAACAAAACAATTTCTCGGTATTGGAATCTAATAGCAGCAAGGACTCGATTATCTAGGGCGAGAAATGAAATATACCAAATGACACAACAAAAAAATGACTATACAACAATTTAGTGATTGAAGATTTTAACGGAATTATAATTGGGTCAAACTCGCTTCGACATAAATAATTTTGATGTTGTGAGCATGCGAATCCTGTACACATACATAAAGTAACTTGCACTATAGATGTGATATTAATACATACAACAGAATAAAATGATATAGAAGAAATTATTTACTGTTTCCTTTGTTCCTTGTGACAATTCATTCGACTCTGTCATGTTGTCATCATCACTCAGGATAAGAACACGTTTTTGATTCTAAAATCACGAAAACATGAAAAATATTAGCGACATGTCAAACCATACGAAATCTTATAATAATATGTCATTACCAAAACCCTCGGAATTTATTATCTTTACTTTTTTAAAGTGAGGACTATATATACCTTCCAAATATAGTTGTTTTTGTAGTATTTTGGCCCCATTCAATGAAAACGTTTATTGAATTAACTGCATGTATATACATGCATAAAACAAAATAGAAACCTTTACCAGTTGTTTAAGCTGATCGACCAAGTGATCTTTTTCTCCTTTCAATTTTCTGACTTCTTGTTCTCCCGGAATTGTTGGATTTTGTTCCAAGATGGCAATGTTTGTATCTTTTTCTGATATTGTTGCAAGAAGAGCATTTTGCCTGGAAAACATTTAATAACAAATTATCAATAAATACTATCGATGTTTATGTATTCATAAATTGAGACAAAAATACTTGAAACAATTCGTTGTTGGGAAAAGAAAGTTGGAAAATAATGAGGGTAATCATTGCCGTTGAAAGCGTTCACATGCATCAACAAGTTAAATAGAGTAGCTATAATTAAAGATCTTTTAGAGCACTGATACTTCAGGTTGAGTAATTTATAATCTTTAAAATACGATTACTTAAGGCCATGTTACACGGTGCAATTTTTCTTGCAACTTGCAATGCAATTCTATTTTTAAGAGATGTAAATTGCATTGCAAGTTGCAGGAAAAATTGCACTGTGTAACAGCGCCTTTAAAAAACATACTTCATCTCTAAGACTTCAGCCATCATCCTTTTCCTTTCCTTCCGATAATATGATAGAGCAATATCACGCTCGCTCAATGATAAGATCAACGAAGCGTTCTTGGTGTTTGTCACTGAATTTTCTATCTTTAAATTTGCGAGCTCAACTTCCAATTCATAATTCTTGTTGGTTTGTTCATGAAGTAATCGTTCATTCTCAGAAACACTGTTGACAGTCTCCTGAAGAGCTTCTTCCAAGATTGCAATTCGTTCCGTTTTTGCATCAAGTTCCGCCTAGTGAAAAATTGATTGAAATATTTAAACACAAAGTGATAGCGGGGTTTAAGCTGCAATACGGATCATGAACCAATCAAATGCAATAAGGCTATCAGATTAACCAATCACAAGCGCAATAGGTCAGCGGGAAATATCGAACACCTTTAAAGTTCTTGTTCCACCAATCCATGCACTTCATATACATACAGTGTAACATATACCCTATCTATGGCTGGAATCTATGTACGTGTATGATATTACTGAATTATACTTGTTTTCTCAATGCTGTACCTTTATTTCAGATTGCTTTCCATCAGAATCATCCATTTGTTTTTTCATCTCACTCAATGCAGCTGCGTGATGCTCTCGTTCTATTTGTTGATTACGTTTTATGTTTGCAAGTTTCTTCGCTTGTTCACGTAATTGCCTGAAGGAAGCAAATTTAGATGCACCATCAGATTATTAGTAAAATAGATAACCTTAAGATGTACTGTATACCATTATTATATGTCAAAAAGAAATAGGGAATTTTTATACCTTCGTATATAACTATAACACATTAATGAATAAATTTATGATATTAAGCACATTGTGTCTTCTTCAGAAAACGATAAACCATGCAAGGCGGAGAAATTGACTGTCACACCACACAACAAACTTACTTGTCCAGTTCATCCGCTTTCTCGTTTTTAGCTCTAATTTCATTCTCTAAACTTTCATTTTTATCATTTTGTTCTTTCTTTAAACGTTCAACTTCGTCTTTCGAATTTCCCAATTCCGTTTCCAGGCTCGATACATTGGATGTCAACTTTGTTATTTCTTCTTGTTTCTGAAAAATCAGAATCGTAGATAAACCTTTTCCATTTTAAAACGTTGCTGCACATGCAAATAGCAATAGCTTGTTAAGAATTATATGAAGTTTGGGAGGTAAACAACTCGCGATTTATATTTGACATCGGAAATCATTGATGTTGATACTTATTAACATGATTGGTATAAAAAATAAATTCCGACATTTCGTGGGAAGTCGTACGCGGTCTTCGTCATTTCAAATAGTTACAAAGATCAACGGTTTATTCTTGGACGACTTACTCTACTAACATCCATCTTCAAATCATCTAGTTCACTCTCTCGATCTCTTAATGATTTTTGTAAAGAACTTGCTTTGTTTTCTTCCTGAGAATTTTGGCTACGTTGTTTCACCAGCTCCTCAATCTTATCTTGAAGTTCCACCTAAACACGCGTAATGTACAACTGTATAACCAGGCACCAAATATTGTATAACAAAATAATATATTAAATATAAAACGGAGGGGAACAATCACAACGGTGTAACTTGCCATTGCCAATGCATTGGTATTTATTCTGATATATAGAACAATGGCCGGGAGAAAAAACACAACTCAATACCTCTTTTTCTAGAACTTTCGTCTGCAGCAATTTCATTTGTTGATGCATGTTATTCATCTCTCTTTCATGCTCTTCCAACAAACTTTCATTTTTCTCCTCTAAACTAGTAATCCTTAATTCTTTATCTTTTATAGATTTCTGTAATGTTTTCACTGTCGTCGATATTTCGTCGTGTTCTGCTTCAACGTTTGCCGCATGGCTTTTACTGTGTGATAAAAGATCACTTTTTTCTGATACCTCAATCTCCAAAGCTGTACACTGAAAAACATTCAAAATAGCAGCTACATATCACGTTTGTTGCCCCCGTGAATTTTCACAGACTGCATAATTCTAAACTGGGGAACCTGGGAAGTTGTTTGAAACATTTGTTTGATGCATGCATTTATAGCTTCATTGTGTCCATTGAATCTTAGCCTCCTCGCGCAATGGAAACGGGAAAAGTTATTACAAAATGTTCAAGCAGAGTTCTTCTCAGCGTTCCTATACACCTCGTCTTTCTAATATCTAATCACTGAAAATACACGTGCACAATACTCATTTCGGAATTTAAAAAAGACTCGTTGTTTAATTTCGTTAAAGTAACTTTAGTGATTTTTCACGGAAAACAAGTCAACACACATTGTGTTAAAATACTTGTAAATTTCTCTAACCACTTATTGAATGAAGGTGATGAGAAGTGAGACGATGGACATTAATTACCGAATCATAAAATAATTATAGTCGAATTTAAGTGTTGAATAGAATATATTTACCAACCTTCTCTTTCAACGAAGCAATCTGCTTCTCCTTGGAACAAATCAAAGTATTAAGAACATCCATCTCTCCACTGTTCTGAGATTGCAATGATGTCAGAGATACAACTGCCTTTTCTTTTGAGTCCAAAATTTTTTCTTTCTCTTCCAAACGATCTCTTACATTACGCAGCTATGATAATAACACAAATGTTATTTATGTACTGTGAATGACACAGTACAAGTCCTGGTCACTACAACATGAACCACATAAGTACATTGTATAACTACACAGAACCATACACAAGGCTCGTTAAGCACTGACAACTTCAATTGTAATTGATATACCAGTAATACTGCAATTCCCATAAAACACCTTCTGTTGTATGGTTCTGTGCATGTGTCATTGTGAAAGCAGCAAAACATTCATAAAACTAGAACAATGCAGTGTATGTATGTGGTTTCAGTGCATAAGGCATCATATGACAATGTCAGCTGGGTGACTTACTTCTTGCTGTAAGTTCTGAATGTGTGTTTCCTTTGACTTGTTGGAGCTATGTAAGACACTGATGTGTTCTTGTAAATCAGACTGATGTTTCTCAAATGTTTCCAGTTTTGTTCTAACTGCAGCCAACTCAGTGTCTTTTTTTGCTAATTCTCCCTTGCTTGAATCCAACTTGAAAAGAATATGATACATGTAAAATCATACACAGTGGCATAGGAACCAGAGGGGGTAGGATACCACCTCCTATGGTTTGCACAGGGAGCACAGACACAATAAAAATTAGGTCTTCTAAATCTGAGATTTACATATGAATGAACATTATGATAAATGTGACAAAAAGTACCCCAATTTTTTAAAAACAATTTTAGAAGGAGAATGTCCACACCGGTATTATATGTCAGTATATATGCAATCTTGAACCCTTAAACTGGTAATTCTTTTAAACATGAAAATACTACACCTTTGACTTCATAAACTTTGAATGGCTTTCAAATACTTCCTCTTTCTTTGCCAACTCCTCCTTATATTTCTTTTCTTCATTTGAAGCATTTTCATTAGATGACTTCCTGGCTTCTGCCAACTCATCTTCTAACTTCTTAAAATTCTCAGAAACTTTTTGTAATTCATTGTCTTTCATTGAAAGAATATCTTGAAGTTCATTACTGAGAATAATTTGAGACTTGTTCAACTCTAGCTCATTTTCTAAATCTTGTATTGTTTGGTCACGGCGAGCAATGTGCTCTTCCAAATAAGTGACCTTCGATAGTGCATCAAGTAAACTTTGCATTTGAGATGTCTCTTTCTCAGCCTCCATACTCTGAACAGTATCCTGCAGCTTGTCAATTGCGACCTCTTTAGAGTCAACAAGCTGTTGCAGGACCAAAGCCTCATTTTCTAGTTCTTTGATTCTTTCTAGTAATACACTAACTGTTTCTTTATTATTCAGAGTTACTGGCTCAGATTGAGCAGGTTTGCCATCTTCCAGTTCCCTCACCTTAGCCTTTTCTGCATCTAATTCCTTTTGTAGTTCCTAATAATAAAGAAACATTTTTATGCCTTTTGGTTTCTGGTCCAGTATCAATGCTTTAACTAATCAAATGGTTAGCCATCCAGTTTCTACCTGGATCACTAGTGTTTTTAGTGATTTCACTTGTTTTACCATAAATGAGAAAGAAATTGTTGTAAAATTGCAGAAATGTATTGATTGGTCTAGATGGAGGGAAATTGGATCTGAAATAACCTTGATCTGGTGTTATTCTAACCAAAGCTAAGAACAAGTAAATAACATATGTTTCGCTCATAAATTATTTTCTTCTCCAATGAATATGAACAGTGAGTTTGCAACTGGTCAGCATTTATATGAAACTAAGTTTAAATTACAAAGCTAATTTAGGGCATGTTGTAAACACATTGAACAATCAAGGAGATAAGAAATCACCTATAAAATTTCTCCAAAATAGGCAATGTGCTTTACATATAATTGACAGAAACTTTATACAACACATGAAACTGATAATTATTTTTCACTATTAAAAACATTAAAAATCTTTCATATACCTGTGCTTCCTTCGACAAAGCTGTATACTGTTCATGAAGGGCAAGAAATTTATTTTCTTGTTCAATTTTCGCAGCTTTTTCTTTCTTTAATTCGGGGCTCCAAAATGTCTTGATACTTTTCATGTTTGATTTAAGTCTACTTTCCATCGCTTGCATTTCCTTCTTAAGTTCACTATTTTCCTGACGTATTTTGACAATATCGACTGATTTGAGGCTATCCCCGTCGCTTAAAGCATCTATTTTGATTTGGTCATCGCCGATTTTTCGCGCAGAATTTTGAAAATTGTCAAATTCTTCCATATTTAAATGATGGCACTTCCTCCTTTCTTTGGTTACTTTATAGAACACACGCTATTCTGGCAAACCTTCATAAAAAATGTTTTCGTTTCCTAAATGTGAGCGACAGAAAATTAAGAAATTGTTATTTCGGAAATATGCGGTGTAAGGAATTTCAATGAAATACGATACTATACACCTTTCAATAGTTTTATCCTCAATTTTCACACGTTTGCTGAGCAAATATAAAATCCAAAATAGAGCAACACCAGGCAACCGAAGTTATCACGAAATAGCAGGCAGCCAAAGCTATTGTATTTCATCCTAAATCATCTCAGGAGACAGATACCGTTTCCATTAAATTGCTATCGAAGTTATTAAGATAAAATTTCTTGCTGAATGTAATCTGACACGAGAATTATTGTTTAATAATAATGCCAAATGCCTGTTCAGGAAGTCATATAAATCGTCGTTGATATCATATTTATTAATGTTCTCATCATTTCCAGAATATATCAACTTGACAAAACATTTCACATGGTGTCGGTTAGCATTCGTGAAATTCTAAAATCCAAAACAACTTTGAAATTTTGTTGTTCCAATTTGTTTACAAAGAACAAAACAATATTTTTGGCGCGGACGAACACGCAGTTCTCAGGACAGCAAATCATATGTCCGATACTTATGTCAACTACAGGACGCGCGTGATATCATCGGCGATGTAATAGGGAATATATTTTCTTCCCATAGAAAAAGCTTTTTTTTTGTACTAATAAATGACAACTAATCACCGATTAATTTTCTACATATGTAAAGGAACGTTAGAAAAATAGCCCAGTTTCGATTCCTCAGAAGAACTGAAGTGGTGACTTAATGACTGAAGGGATGACTGAAGACTTTTTGAGTTATTCGCAACGTCCCAGGTTAGGTCGCAGTAATCACATGTTTTTGTGCCCGCACATCTATGAACTATGAAACGTATGGAAATTTGCCTTTCAAAGAGCGAAGAACCCGTTTTCGCATAATTGCTTTCACTCCTTAGTTATTCACTTCTTCCGGGAGGATCAAATAAAGCCAAACATCACCTAACAAAGGTTGGTGTACATCTTTGGTTTCAGAAAAGTTCTAGTAATGCTGGATGATTTCGAACCGAATTCACGTTGCTACAAGTTTCTATGATTCTATCCAGCATTATAATATATTTATGCACGACGTGTTTATCTTATGTTATCTCTTTTACGATTTTTACCAATATAATACACCCAGAGTGTTCATGTACACCAAATCAGACTAATCAGTTGCCCGAATCACTTGATATGTCTGAAGCTGTCAGAAATACGTCAGTATCGCGGTTAATATGAGAATACATTGCTTTCACTTTCAAGACAGTCCGTATGCATTTGATGCGTTCCTTGAACACGGACCTGCATATAATATAATTATGCACTTTTTGAATAATGCTAAAATAATGAAATTATAAATTGTTTATAGAATATAAACACTACAGTCACAGTATAATGTACATAATCTTCAACTAGCTATTACTAAATCATTCGTGGTTGCATTATCTATTCATGCTTTCCTCGCCATTCACAACTTGTATAATGTTTTGGCTGGGGTAGGTGCCATGATAAACAGTCGCGTGTTCAGGATTTAGGATGGATGTAAATGGCTTGTGATCATCTATCCTAGGCTCATTTTTAACGCGGACTTTCACGTCATCCTTTGCTGTCGTGACCAAGGTGGCATCACGTGGGATTGCCTTGACAACGGTTGTCGGTTTCAGAATCTTTGTAGGCTTTCGGCCTCGTTTTTGTTTCACTTTTACTTTCTTTTTAACCACAACAGGCTCATCCAGTTTAATAACTTTCTTATAGGGTATACACTTCCGACAAATCTTCAAGCGAACAACACCGGGGACGAAAAGATGCTTAAACTTTTCTGGCGCAGTTTGCAGTGTACAACAGCTATACGATTTCTGAACATGATTTCCGCACACTGCACAATTTATGCCACATGTTCGGATCTTGTCAGGGGAATCACCCGTCTTTTCGCCTGCATTTTCCTTTTTTACTGCTAAAAAAAAGAAGATAAAATGCACATTCCAATATTTCCTGATTTTTTCTGTTTTTGTTGTGGGCAGGAGAGATTCTCAAGTGCATGTTTAGTCGAGAATCTGACTGATCAAAACAACTGAACATTTGAACAAGGGTATATTAGTCCATGCACGACTTTTGCACGTGTATTCTAATGCAAATAATCTTGTCTCAACTCACCGGCAGATTTTTGTACACGTTGCTTTATTCCTTTCTTCAAACTGGGGTTGCCGACTTTTCTGAGATCATCATATTTCTTGTTAGGCTTCCAAGCTCGCTTAGTATTCATCACCAGATCATGACTCAATCCTTTTCGTGCACCAAAACTCTCTCCAATTTTTCTTTCTGGAACATTTGTTCCCAGGACATTTTTAGCAGCCACGTGATACAGAGACTTTTCACGGTCTTCTGATTGGGTGATATCCATATCTTCGCCGTTGCTCTGCTGATTTTCAGTTCCATCGCTCTGTTGAGGTACGCCATTTTCGTTATTCCTAGCGACATTATTAAGAAAATCCGTAGAATACAGATTCAATTCCCTCAAGAATAAATTCTTTTGCACAGGATCATCCACCTGAAATCTCTGGAGCAACGTCTTGCGTGGTGTTTCAGGTAACGAATCATGGGGAGGGGATGAGGCTTGCAGATTTAACCAAGAGGTATCATCAGAACTGTGTTTCTCATTGTTTTTCAACTGTCGTAAATCACGAACAACGAACTCAAAAGGTTTTGTTCTTCGATCACTCGTCATGCCAAGAGGAATTTTCATTTGGCGGATTTTATCCGAATAGCGTGCCAGATTGGATATAGCTACATTTTCAACGCAGTTTTCTTTCGACGTTAGACACTTACGACACACGCGTATCTTCTGATAATTATCATCAAATGCTTCCCGAATATAAAGTGGAGCTGAGAATCTCGTTACACATCGATAGCTTTTGAAATGTAGTAACCCACAAACGTCACACCTTGGTGAGATTTTAACAGGAACTACAATATCATCTATAAGGAAAGTGCAAACGGTAATTAACTAAAAGCAAATAGAGAAGTTGAACAGTAATGGAAGGACTTCAACTTTACTTGTCAAAAAATCAAATTATATTATTGTCGCATCATTCATCAATGAACACTCGCTAAACGCAAGGTATTCACTGATCATTTCACTTTTTAAATTCGTTTCATATTACAGTCTGTAAGGACAGCGAAACCCGTTCGTTCTGATGTAATTTTTATACTTGCGAATCTTTTTCAACATTTGAACGAAATTACATACACTTTGTCTTTGCTATTTTAACACTGGAAATTTTTCGTTGGCAAAACGCAGGCGATACATGTTGGTGCATGGTCACGCGCTATGCTGTTCTTACAAGCTTATTATGTCCTCTAGCTGCTCTGGAAATTTGCATGCGAAAGACTGCGAATGAGCCTGGTGTCTTCGCATTAATTGCTTGCACTCTTTAGCAGTTTAGCAGTTTAGCTACGCTCTTTAACTTCTGGGAGGGGTGCCAGAGGGCAGAGGCTGTTTAAACGAAGCTGATTGGTTTTCGTAACAGCATAATTTGGGTTGAAGGTTGGCTTCGTTCGAGTATGGTGTTGAGTGATGTCGGATCAGATTTAAGAACAGGACATTGCGTGTTACCAGAAAAGTTGTAAACTATCGCTTGATCGCCTAATCCAGCATACACTCAACGTACGCGCCTTTCGACTTGGCGATGATTCACGACTGACATTGCGGTTACAACGGCACTGTCGTGTTAGTTTCTTTCAATGGTATGTAAGAATACTAAACGACCAGGTTTAGTGTATTAAACGGCACAGCTCCACTATCTATGTCTGGGCAAGATATAATCTGCAAGCCTGGGCAGGAATACTGGAACAGACCGGGTTTTAGCTCACAAAAGTACTTAACAAGCCTACATAAATTTGACTGGTTTGATATCCATGTTTAACTTTTTTAGAAGAGATTATGTTTTCAACATATTTTGTTAATTTTTTACTGGATATTGTAGTTCTTGTACAGTATTTATACTTCATACTATCATGTTTTTGGTATACAATCATAAAATAATTAAAATTGCCTGGAAAAGGCTCTTATAGAAAAACGATGAAAGCTTGAATTAACCTGCACTGCTGTCTTTGTCATTACCACTTTCTTCTTCACTTGTACTTTCAGATTCAACTGACTTGATCCCGTCTGAATCTTCTCCAAAATCCCTGTACATGCAGGAAATAGTTTTGTCAACTGCACACAAGCACATGTCAATCACACTAAAAGCAGTAGCAGGTTAGGCATGAAGGTCCCTAGTTGGGCTACTTGGGCTGACTAAGGTGCAGCCAATCATGTTTTCCACCCAGATATGGAGCAGCAGAGTACTTAGGGACTTAGAAGTAGTAATTAGTGACTTTTTGAGTAAGTTAAGAGTGTATTAATGTGACTTTTTGAATTAATAATGAACTCAAACCAATCTACAATTAATGAATAAGAGATGAATCATTCTTATTTGGCAAATTAGTAGGGAAAAATAACACCATTTCCAGGTAACAACACACATTGTAGATTTTGAAGACATGAATTGAATGTACTCTTCTACTATGTGCAATGATGGTTGGGTAACTTGTCTTCCCTACTTTGGTTTCTCTAAAATACAATTATTTAACACTCACTACCTTTTTTCTGGTGGGACGTTATCTAGGTCCTCTCTATCACCACCACTAGTCACCTAAACAGGAATGTGTGATTTAGATTAATTTAATGTGGAAAGAATCTGATAGTTCATTGGGGAACCTCACCATATGTGGATTGTAAATAACTGGAATAGGTCATGTTTAGGTAACTGTAGCTTCACATAACTAAATAAGCAAGTAGTTGAGCTGTGGATTTGTTGCATAATACAAGATCAGTATTTGCAAGAGATAAACTATTTGTTTTCACAACAAGGTAGTATGCTAAGTAGTAAGTCTCAGACAGACCACTGCTTACAGTCATGTCTCATTTCTAGAACCAATAATTCATTGGTTGCATTCCTATAGCCCACTAGAGTGTTTCACCTAAAATTTTCTATTAAAAGTGATGATTGACATGGATATTGTTCAGACATTAGCATCAAATACTTGCAAAATTAACTGAAATTGATTGCAAGTTTTACTCTTGTGAGCTATATTTAAACATCTTTCTTTAACATATGTAATTGAAAAAGAAATTATTTACTTTGACCAATAAATGTTGAAATAAGCTTTAACACATAAACAAGGTCCAGGTCAGTATTGTCCATAGCCATGTTTTCATGTTATAGCTCATTCCATGATTATTGTTCAAAATAAAATATTAAAATATATGCATAGCTCATAGGTCCATGTACAAAAGCATAATTCCTGGCTTGCTTGTGTAGATTTCAAGAACGTTTTAAATTCTTCTTCATTACTTTATTTATTTTTCTTTTTATTTATTTTTATAATATTTAAATTAGTCTTAATTTACATTTTGCATAAATGAATACATAGTCTAGGCGCTGTCAGGATGGTATCAGCCAACCTGCAGGAAAGACTTACGTTCGCGGTCTGAAAGACACAAAAATCATCTTTTGCGCGCTATTACCGAGTACAAATACTTTAAAATATGTTTATAAACAAAAGATATGATATATTTAAGGGTAGAGACTGCCCGTAGCATGTAATAAACCAGATCCAAACGCATTTGCACTTTAAACTTACACAGGTACAAAACGCGTGTGTTTCCGATCTCAAAGGCAATAAATTTGCATAACAAGAGTGATTATAATTCTTGCCAATGTCTAGTTTGCATACGATATCAGGATATTTGAATAAATTGTAATCATATTAACCAACGCCGCTTTTCGTTTCTCTCGCGAAAATTTGACCACGTACAAAGTATATTTACCATTCTTTAAATGCCCCCAAGTCAAGTGAGAAATGATGCAAACAACAAAACAAAAAAAAAACGCAATACCTTTATACGAAGCTAAACAAATCCCTTCACAAAGAGCAAAATCGTGAGAGTGCGCCACAACTTTAGCCACGCTATGCAACTGAAGCTTAGAGCCGGAGAAAATATGACCCAAGCAACTACAAGTCAAGTCTTGAACACAATATATTTCGCGCGGTTTGAAATTGTACACGGATACACACAAATTATCTTGAATATCATATTACATGCTTAAGGAAAGTTTGGCAAACCAAACGCAAAATGGCTTGGGCGAATTTTTGAGGTAAACGTTATTTTAAATAGCGGCTGCGCCAGTCTGAAGCGAACTGAATATATTATGTTTCACTTGCGAAATCGTCTCAAGCTTACCAAAGTCAGTCCTGATGAAACACTATGCTCTAATGTCGTCTCTTCACTGATATGCTCAATGATTTGTTCAAGGTGGAATCTAAAACATAAAGAAAGAAATGCCTGTGTTGGTGAAGCGAGCGGCGCGGTCATGTTGAGTTCGCTTCGAACATACATTATAAAGAAACGCAATATTTACACGGTATTTAACCTACCGTTTTCGCTCAGTTTCCGTAGCCATTTTATCAATGTTTTACTCCAACTTTTTGGAAACACGCGGCAGGATAACCGTGTGTAAAATGTGAAATACAACGTACGTGTTTAACCCAGCCGCCGCGGACAAAATATATTTCGCTACTTGCCAGCTACGCTTCAACAAGCAAAAATTTACATAATTCTACCCACAAGACTTTGCAGATAGTGCAACAGGAGTTAGGACAAGGACATGCGGCTTGCAACGTGGGCTTATTTATTACCAAAGAGATATACTTTTACTTTTCCTCATTTTCCGGTTTTCACATTCACTGCAAACAATTGCGAAATTTTTCTTTAAAATATCATTTGACAGCAAATTTATAGATGGAAAATGTTCGGATGTTTAAGTTGGAAATGTGCGGAAGTTTTAATTTAAGCGGCGGCCGTGATCTCAAAGAACGCGCGATAACAAATTCAGCCCACTGGAAACTTGCCTGGTGAAGAAATCAGCGGAATCTTGTGACAAAGAAGTCTGAGTTAGAAATATCTGCCAAATACAAATTATAGTACTACACGAAAATATTGGGTAATATTTTGTGTTTATTGAACATAAAGAAACTAAAAGCCTTCAAGTATAAAACAGCAACAGAGTAAACTTCCGGAATGACGCTGAGTGAAAGACACGACAGGGAAGTAGTGTCGCAAATCCCTTGAACTTTGTTTTGAGTTTATATTGAAGATTTTGCAAATACACCTCACCGCGCAACATAGTTTTCGTGGTAGAAGTTACCTGTAGCCAGGGTAGGTGCTGCCCTACTTCGTAAAGTCTATTTTCAACGCAAAACCAGTCATTCATAGATTTTGCTTCGAACAACGACTATGACAAGGCAGGAACGCCGGAAGGATCACGTTTTTACTTTTTAGGAGGTCGAAAAAGAGACTTGAGGGGCACTTTAGGGTGAAAATTAATAACAACAAGTGGAAATCAAGGGGCAAAGGGGGGTGAATGCCCCTTCTCCGGGTGAACTCTTGTGCGAGATTAACGCATTTGGGCACAGTTTTTCGACGGTTTGTTTTGCAATGCTTATTTAGATACATGCGCGTACGCATTTTATGTTGAAATATGAGAAATGTCACGTCGAACGGCCGGAAAAGTAAAATTTAAAAATGCGTATTTAATTTATATTTTCATTTTAAGAAATTGGGATTTACTGATTTATTTCACTGAAAACGTTTGAATATTTGAATTGTCACAGAATTTGGGCGTGGTACTGTTTGACATGTAATGCAACACGCTGCCGAATTGCGCACCCCTGGTGTGTACGTAATCCCAAACATTCCCTTGGATGCGCTTTTCGTGTGTTGATAGAAGTTGAATTGTGCATAAATGCGACAAAATGTGGCCAAAAAACCATTTATAACATGTATAGTATTGTATACTAATCAAACAATACTAACAAATAAACGAAATTCGCAATTACAGATCTAGAAGGAAGTTATGTTAAACGATGTTAAACCGGAAACAGCTACAAATTGTACCTGTTGCAACTTGCAATGTTGATCTAACGTGTCTAATTCTTTAAAGATTGAGCACAATTGGTTTAAGTTTTACTCAGTCGAGAGTTTCTAAAATATCAGAAAATACAAAGAAAAATCGGCCCAAAAATGGAAAATCGCTGGCCTCGAAAGCATAAATGCCTGATTCGCACTCGTCGGTCAAGACATTCGTCCGTCCCCCTTTTAAAACATTTCGACCCAAACGCCCATGAACTTTATCATAAATCTGTACCTCCGTATAAGAATTGTATTTTTCGGGGATGATAGCCCTCAAACTATTCAAATAACGTAAAATTACGTTATTATAACAACATACATGAAACATTATATACACGATTTTATTATTCAGGAAAATATTAAAAACATCTTGAATAGAAAATCGTCAGGTATACTATGACAGCTAGCTCTTCAGAAACCTACTGCTCTATAACAGATTATCAATTTATCGGCGAGTATATATTCGATACATAGATATGTACAAAACTAATACATGCAGGGTGTGTGAAAAAATGGTAACCTAATTTAAGCGCGCGTGTGCAGAAAATTACTTGATTAGTCGAACGGAAAAGCCTGATCTGGCATAATATCTAAAACTTACACTTGTTTATAAAGTAATTTACACACAACAGCATGCTGAAATTAGGCTACCATTTTCTTGATACACCCTGTACATTCCTGCAGTAAATATTAGGCTGGACTTCCACTTGCAGAAGAATGGTTCGTTTATATGTAACGAAATATTTGCAAATTTTCCTTTGCATTTTACTTGTAATTGCATAAATAAATAGTTCAACTTAAAAGCAAATGTGGCAGTGCAAATATTTCGCTATAGCGAACCATTTTTCTGCAAGTGGAAATCCAGGCTCATACAACTGTCAGGCTACTTCTATGCTTGGATTTCATATTCAATTTGAAATACTTTAGTTTTTATTTCTTGATCTTTCATGAGAAGTCCCTAAAAGAAAAAGTGGGCACGATAAGTCACGCAAGAAATTGCCCGCAGAGAACCGTCAGTTTCCCCTTTTTAATTCAGTTTTCAAAATCATGCATGCATGGGTCCGAAAGCGATGCGTTCTCAAGCAACACCCATGCAGGCAAGCTAAACATGTATGTTTCAAAACTGCCTGTTCCGCCCGGGTATAATAAAATGCGTCCATAGCTGTTGATTATTAGAAACGTGCATGTACCTTTCGTAGGGCTGCAAGCTGCTCCAATATCTTTTCTTGGTGAGCAGTGGGAGTGAAAGTCGCTAAAAGATGCTGAAAGGAAAGAGATGATTATGTTGCATTTAAATATAGCACGCGCAGCATTTCACATGATAAGTGCTGCTATTCAGTGACATGTTATAAAGTTTATACATGATTCATTAGTTTGCATGCAACAACAATATAGTTCAACAACACTATATTTGGTACTTACGCTAGGAATATTTGTCATTTGATCGTCTTCACTAATTGATGCAGCATTTTTATATTTGTTCGTAACTAAATCATCAGACGTGTTTTGTGATTTTATCTGTGACTTAGGCTTTTGAATAATTTGTTGAGGTCTTTCTGCTTCACGTTTTTTTCGCCGACTTGTGAGCGAAGCGTTTTTGTTATCTGTCCTTTTTTCTCGTAATCGTGAAGTTCTTGTCGGATGTACTTCAGGAACTGAACGACCTTTTTTAACAATCTTACGGTCTGTTAAATTACTATTAGTCTCTGCTATTTTATTAATACTTCCTCTTTCAGGAGCTTCCCGCAAGATTAAACTTTCCCTAAACAATGTAGCACTCGCAGTTCTATGAAATGGCACTATAAATTCGCTAGAAGAACGTGCTCTAAAATCTCCATCATAATTCATCTCTCTGTTTGTTGTACAACTGCCAAAATCTTCATCAACCCATTTATTCATCAATGTCCCAGACTTGTCTTTGTCTGTTTCTTCTTCTGCATATGATGTTTTTTCATGTGTATCTGGTAAACACAAGGAATGCCGCTTCACATTCATTGTAAAATCAGAAAGACTTCTTTCATTTGACTTATCAGGTTTGTCAACTGGAGAGATTGAGGTTCTCAAGTTCAGAGGAGGAACCACAGGGTGACGTCTAAGAGCATTGTCAGGCAATATGACTTGTTCTCGAATTGTTGTTCCATTTATGCGGTCATCCTCGTGACTTTCTTGTACATTCCCTGCGCCTATAAAAACTGCAAGTCATTATTCTCGTACCCAAAGTTTCACAAAATTTGAGGTGTATACTATCACGAACCATGCAGATTGATGACATGACTATGATAAGACAAGATAGATCGAGTAATGATGCGGCAATTTCTTCGTGTCAGTAAACCAGGTAAATATATGAGGCTTTCGTTGATTGGTAAAAATTCAGAGAATGAGAGAATGACAAATTCAAGTACCTTTTGTGGTAGATTCCAGCATGCGATTCTTTCTTTTATCACGTTTTAACTAAATAAAATAAAATCCAGGTTACGCAACATTGTCAAACAATTACTGAAAACGAATCGTGGACTAAATGTCATTCTTGAAAGAATTGGCTGCTAATATTATCATTCATATGTTTTTATTACGGTCAACCTGCTGAGCTGACTCGAAAGCTTTGGAAATTCCTTCTTGTAAAACATGAGCTCTTCGTTTCGCTTGCTCCTATAAGAATATCAAGATTTTAGATTGCGGTATAAAATTAATTTTACAACAATCAAGTGATTCACTCAAACCTCTTTTTCCTTCATTTTAATCATCTCTTCTTCAAATTGTTTTTGCAATTTTTCTCTTTCCTTTGCAACTCGTTCATCCTCTATTGCTTCTTCTCTCAGACGCCGTTCTCGTTCCTCCATTTTTTGTCTCCTACGGTCTTCTACCTGCAGTTCAATCGCTTTCTAAAATTCAGAACAGAAAGCGATATTTTAGCCGGTTGTATACGAAGGCTGGATAGCGCCATCCACCGGATAGTGATTATTTCAACCGTTGTAAAAATGCTTGAAAAGCAATAAAATTTCAGCTTTAGAATCAATTGTTGAAGAGGATCCTCAATTTAGGAAAACTAAGGTTTAATCAAAGTTATAACCAACACCGATTTTAAAGCGATTGAAAAACCCACTATCCGGTGGATAGCGTTATCCGGCTTTCATTATCACTAATTGGACTTGAACAAGCGCACGTAACCTTGGACGAGGACATAACAAAAACGTGTAGCCCGAAGGGGAAATGTCAGTATATTACCCGGTAAAAAAACGGTTTCCTGTCTAAACGAATTTAATGGTAAACATGCATAAAGTTGTGCTAAAAGCATAAATTAAATTTCACATAAAAAAAGACTATATAATGCGCAATTTGTCTGGTTATTCGAGTAATAATGCAGTAATTGCTGCATTATACGTACTCCAAGTAATAATGCAGAGAACAAAAGTAAACAACACGATAATCTCACCTGATGTTCAAATATTTTCTTCCTTTGTTTATCAGTCTCATTGTCTGAAAGCATATTCATCAATGCACGGCCTCGGGCATGCCCAGTACTGGACCTATAGAAGAATAAGACTATATATTAATGACGCGATCGAATAAAAAAATTCAAAAAGCAGATAAAGCATTCTATCAGTGTCATTCATTCAGTGGGAATACTATACTGTATATAGCAAGCTGATTCTTCAGCGATCGTCAAAAATAGCAAACTAAGGTTTTTTTGAAAAATTGAGGTTATTATTGGCTTCGCTGTACCATTAAAATCTCATGTATTGACGGCCTTTGAGGCCTGTTCTCATTTGTTTTCATGCACTGACTTCTGTACAATACTCACAAAGCATCCTGGTAAAATGAACATGCTGCTACCTTATATCCTTATTGTCAATTACAATGGAATGTAACCCTATTACACCAGGTTAATTACGAGACGTTTTATTAAAATATCATGATGATGAGTCTCATGATGCATTAGAATTATAAATAACCTTGAACGGCCAAATATTTACACAATAATACCTGTCAGTTTCTTGTTGCGAGATCGTGCTAATTGCACTTCCCACTGGATTATTCTGGTTAGTCGGTTTATTTAGGGAAACCCCTTCACTTTTCCTTTCCATCTAAAAAACAACAGTGTTTGCATGCATGAGTATGTAAAAGTATGCATGTAAAAATGGATATACTTTAACTTTAATGCCACCTATAAATGCTCTTGAAAAATTAACCTGAAGTGAAACACCAACAGATTGATTTCTTTTAAACTGCATTTCTCTTTCTTTCTTTTCTTGAATTTGTTGCTCTGTAATTTAGCAGTACATAAGAATTTACATAGTTATGTTTCAGAATATGAATTGTAGAATGCCGACAAACGATTAATCCCAGTATTTTTCACCTACCCAGTCCCCTAACCCATTGCCTGTGCTTGTCAGCTTTATCATCGTGCGGATTGTTGGTTACTAATCCGGGTGCCTACAAAACAAGGAAAACATAAAAATTCATTTTTGCGATTTCATTGCTTCATCACCATCATCATCCTTTTTGCAATTCGATTGCTTCATCACTGGTTTTAAAAAGCCATATCTTGTTGTATGTCTGGTACATTTAAAAAAGGCGCACCCCGATAGCAAAGGAACTTCTCATTGCAGTAGGTTTTAAAGTTTCTGTCACAACAGTAGATGCGACATTTTGTTCAGGATCACTTTGGCTTAATGCAACCGCTTCAATATTCTCCTGTTCATTGAAAGGCTTTCCAGATGCCTGTACAATAAAAAATGGCTGCTGTGAATATAAATATGACCCAACATGGTAGCACAGTGCAATATATTTATATACATCAAGGGAAGAATACGGTACACAGAGTATACATACTATACAGTTTACTTAGGTGCACGCAAAAACAGGAATAAATGAACAGTAAAAAAACAGGGTTCAGTTATGCATTGCATGTATTGTGCAAACTTTATGATTAAATGCCCAAATTTGATTCGATTCATTGTGATAGACTGAAAACACTTAAATACCTGGATATTTTCATTGGTAAGAGCTTCCTCACTTTTAATATGATCATCATTTGTGTTTCTCGATTGAGGTATCTTCTTTTCATCTAAGCAGTAAAACGTAATGTAATGATCAGTTGATCATAATGATTCATAATTTCATACATCATCATTTTAAGTCCTCAAGTAAGAATTCATAAGCAATTATTTTAAGCCTAGCATGCAATATATATTACAATTACTATAAGTTACCTGGCATTGACTGTTGTTGTACTTCACCCATTCTTGTTACAGATGCATCACTCTCTATTTTCTTTCCAGTCAAAGATTCCAATAATTTTGCCAAATCATCTTTTGTTACATATGCAGTAGTTTTATCAGCTGTTTCAGAACCATCACCAGAAATTTCCTGCGCTTGTGTGGTCTTTCCATTAAATTTTGCAGCCAATCTTGATGGTTTAGTCACTTTACCATCATTAGAACGTTCTTCCCTCCGCTTTGACTTTCCTTTTGTAATTTGCTGTTTTAATTTTGGTTTTGAACTTTTACTACCAGCTGCATTTTCATTCACTGAACCACTTTTAGTTTTTACCTGAAAGATAACAACCAAAATAAGTTAAGACTGTGAAGCAACAGACAAGCGACTTGAACAGTGAACACCTTTTTGGAAAAAGGTTCTCGAGCTTACTAAATAGAAAAATTTGGATGAAAGCAATGCAGTTAAAACCCTTTAGCAAGCCTTTAGGTTTCCTTATTGCTTCTATAAATCATAAATAGAAATAAATACCTTTCCTCTGTCATGCAGCTGACTCTTATATCCTATAAAGAAAATTAACACATTTATCAGCTTATATTATTTGACCTAATTCACTTTATCATTTTACTCTGTCACTAATAGAAAACGTTTTAAGTTTTGTGGACATCTGACCATGCAACAATGCAAACCAGTTTTTGCCAGCTGTCAGCCAGTGTGATTAATTTTACCTGTCAGAGCAAAACTGTTGGATATGGTAACAGGGTAAGTGAAAGTGTGAAACTGTGATAATTAATACATTCTAGCTGTTTAGGTTCTTTAGGTGGACACACTGAATGCCTTGAAATAGTCAGATGTAAGTTAGATATGATATATCATACATATATTGATCTCTTACCAACGACTTGTAAAGTCAATTGATTTTTACTGGATTTCATGGTCATATGTATATCAATCAATTTTATTTATTTGGTGCAAAGCTATAATCATCAATTTACAGTACATATAATGTACAAAATAAAATGATACAATATGGCTTCGCACACTTTATACTCATACCGTTTCGTATTAATAATTATATTTGCAAAGATGTCAGACAGCAGGTCAGCAGGAGGGCATTTTTATAACACATACTAGCTGCTCAACCATGACTTTAATTGAAAGGACGTATTTTATTTACCGACGCACAGGGAAAACACTTACCATCGGTTAGGACGATATTGAATTTTCCATTAACGCTTTCAGTAACGTTTAACCTAAATCAAAAGACAACAGAATCTTAAAAAAATAGGTCCGCAATGCGTACATGCGCCCGCTGTTCCGCGAGGAATTCGTTTTCTCGTAAGTAAATGGTTAACATTGTGTGAAGAGTTGATTAGATTTTGGTTGAATTTTGTTGTGAATTGGGCGAGAAATTAATAAGGAAATAAAACGTTTCTCAGTAGTGGGAAGTTATAGGAATGCATAGTGATATTTTAATTATTAAATCACGCGTGCAAAGTCTGTTTTGAATCAGGCATTCACAATGAAAGATTATCTACGGATTTTTCTGTAATTGCGGTGCCCTAGCACCGCATTATAATTGCTCGGTTTTTGTTCGTTCGTTCGTTCGTCCGTCCGTCCGACCAACTTCGATAGGTATTTACCGCTTGCACATGCAAAATTGTATAAGTTACAACGCATCAGACGTCTACCGTGGGCTCGGATTTTGATCAGACCAGTTACCGTGGGCTCGGATTTTGGGGGGAATCTGGAGGATCGTAGATGTACAATAAGAGATAGAGGAAGCACTCGGGGATATGGAATCGTTGCTTTCGTGCTGAAATACATGCTTCTGAACCAGTGCACGTAAACAAACCACTATTTTGGAAAGTTCATTTTTGCGGCCAAAAAAGCTCTGATTTCGCTTATGTGTAATGCAATTAGTTTGTCTTTGGGCAATCAAGTTTTGTACGCCTACAGATTACAGCGATCGGCTGCAGAAGTGTCCATCGGCATCGTGCATTGAACGTCGACAAGCATGATGATGAAAGTGATATTGCTGAAGATTATACAAATAGACAAGTAAATGAAGAATTTCATGCGACAAATTTTTGTTTGTACTAGACTTATAATGTCATTTTAACAATTTCATCCAATATTCTGGTAATGTTTTCTGTTAAACTGTAATAATTTTTTGTTAGAAATAGGAATACATATCATACTGATTCTAATTTAAAATGAATTATTATATACTACTGTATTATCATTATGGTGACACTATACATTCCCAAGAAGTATAAATCCTGATTTAAATACAGTACACAGGTCCTTATTGTAGGAGTTATGAGGCAAAGCACAAACCCCTGCACTTAAACCTCCTAGTATAGCCACAATAGTCACTATAATCATTGTTTTCTCATATAGTAGACTTTAATTTGGGGAATCATATCATCAATTCCTACATGTATTAACCACCTGTGATGCATATCATGTATGCTGTTACTAATAGTCTACTATTGTTTGTACATAGTTCACATTTCACTGACAGTTTTCCTGGCAGTGAGTAAAATCATCTGATGAGGGTAATATTTAATAATAGGTTGATTCTGCCCGTTATTTTCAGCAGTTCATATTACAGGTATTATTTTTTATCAACTATTTTTTTCATTGTAAATAATTACTGCATTCGCACTAATTAAGGACGTGGCTTATAGTAAAGTTGAAATGTGTTTTACTGTATGAAATTAAAATTTTTGCTTCTCATACTCTTGTACTGATCATGTCATCAATACACCAAATTTTATATGCAGTAATATTTAATTATTAAATTCCCAATAGAAAAAGTGACCTTTCCCTTTATTAAATATAAATGATTATTAAACTACAGCAACAGGCATACAGGCAGATGCTCGCAATGCATTCTGGTTAAATGTCGCTATTTCTGTGCCATAAATATCGCCATCTTTTTCATTTCTTTTTCACAAGTAGAGTATGTATGAACCGTCTATTGGCGATACAGGAAAAACTGACAAATTAATAGGAAAATTTGATTTTCATGGTGAGCCCATGGTATATGAACGTTCACAACCACATTGTGGGCAACATAGCTGCATATTAAAACTGTAGTGAAGCCATCAGGCAACAGGCCTCAGCAAGGGGCACCGCATTGTACTACTTTGTCTGGTTTATTGTTAAAAGTCAGTTGTACCCTACTCATTTCGGGCTGGATACGTCCCTGCGTAACTAGATCGAATATTTAATGAGAAAGTTCCTCTAGTTTACAATATTTGATGAGGCGTGCAATGTTAGGCTTGTCGAGCTAAAGGTTCTTGGCCTTCTGGTGCTGAGTCCGTTGAGTGTCTATAGATTATAATTTTTTTTCGGATATTCTATTATAATTGTATATTGAGCGAAAAGTGGGACCGTGTAAGGCCGGCCTAATGGATAAGGAGCAGAAGTAGAGTTAATATCAAAGGGATACAATTTCAGACGTTGGGCGCACAACGGAGAGACCTATATAAAGGCAGATTTCCACTAGGCGAAATTTTTCGATCGAAACGAAAATTTCCTTTGTCTCAGAAGCATTCAAGTGGAACTAATTTATGATCTATTGAATTTTGACAATAGAAACCAACTTCGGTCGAAAATTTTCGCCTAGTGGAAATCCTAGTGGAAATATTTGGTTCCACATGAGACGTTTTCGTCACATGCGCGATGATATATTATGGCCCTGAAACATGACCTATTTCCGGCCGCGCGCCGTGTTAGGACACTGGGACGATTTTTTCGCGATTCGGCCTTCGGCTGTTTTTTTTGCAAATTGCACGTGCTTTATCACATGGCAGCTAAAAAAGTGGATGTAGAAGGCTTCGTCCATCGGGTTTCCGATCTGGCAATGCCAGCTAAAACTGCTGGAAGGTACTTCCATTTTGTCGTGCAAGAGGGACGAAAGCCGACGCGTGGTGTGCTTTTCTCCCGAAAAAGAAACAACCTCAAACGCAAGGAAGATGACAAGTCGCCAGTGCGGTTAGTACAAGTCAGTCCACAAAAACGAAAGTTTGCAGAGGGAACGGAGTACAAGTTGGAAAAGTATTCGAAAGTCGAAGATGCCAAGAATGTTTCCTTCCCGTGGAAGGACCATAATTCGAAGTTTCTTGACGTTGCGAGTATTTTGGAGGAAGGAAAAGAAGGAGAAGTGGTTTCACTGAAAGCTGTTGTTCTGCACAAGTCAGAAGTGACAACTATTTTCTCGAATGCGTATGGAAAGAAGCTAAGAAAATGCGATCTGGTAGTGGCAGATGCGTCTGGGTCAATTGAATTGACGGTGTGGGAAGATCTTATTGCCCATGTTATCGTGGAAAAAGTGCACAAGTTCAAAGATGTCAAAGTTGCCTTGTATAGAAGCAAATGTCTGAATACTAACACTGGTTCTACCATAGTAGAATTGCCCGATGAAAAGATGAGTATAGAGGAGGAGATCGTGAAGGCAGCAATGGAGCTTGTGCCGAATGAGAAAGAAACCAGTTTATTTGTTGGCAACATTGTGGGCGTAGAAGTTAATAAAGCGTTTTTATGCGTAAATTGTAAAAGTAAGTTGGTTCATTGCAGTGATAAGTTCATAAAGTGTAAATGTTGTAAATTAAGTATGCTTAGCGGAAGTTTGGTGTCAGTTGTTACAGCAAATGTTATTATAGCAGAGGAAGGAGAAATCAAGGGTAGATTTTTCTGTTCTGAAGCAGTCATAGATGAGATGTTTAAGTCAGTCTCTGAGAAAGATGATTACAACGTAAAAGAAAGTGTTAAAAAGTTGTCTGAAGATATGATAACCGAAACCCTGTTGTTAATTGATAGAGTGAAATTCACTGTTTCTGTAGAAGAAAAGGTGGTATTGTCAATGAGGGTAGCCTAGGGTCTTAGATTTGCCTGGCGTAGGGACGGTTTTGTTAATATTATGTAAACACGTTTTTTGTTCATGAAAAAGAGTTGCACCATGGAAAGTAATAATAGGTACTGTAAGTTGTGTTTTCGTTTCTATATTGACTTGGTATGACAATATTACTGTATACAGTATAGGCACAACTTGATTCATCACATGGAATTTGTAGTCACAAATATTAAAATTACTAGTTATTCAATAAGTTTTAGTTAGCTAATAACTTATACTTTGCAATTTGTTAATAGTTATTGTTACATAAAGGTAATGAATGGTTGATATTAAACATTAAATAAAGATGAAAATAATATTTTTTGTTGATGTGTTTCTGTTTGACAGTAGCAAAATGTTTTATGATCTATGGATGCACATAATGATGCAATGAATGCATTGTTTAAGAAAATGAATGCTATGGGATCTATGCATTGTGAATTACTTAAGCTAAAATATTACATGAGTACTATATTAGAGGTAATAAATAATTAGTCTCATGAGTGTCAGTCTGGTGTGTGGTAATATGTCTTGAATTTATACTCTTCGTCCATCTGCTTTGAGAGTCAATGTTTTCCATTTGAAGATATCGATCGAAGATGGATTACACATTTCAAAGTACTATAGCTTCCACACTGTTGCTTGAACATGACTTCATTGACTTGTCCAAAACATCGTGGTGCATGGAGAGTGTTCCAACCAAAGGTGAAAGAGGAGTGATGTTATAAACAGGTGATGTTTCCAGTAGAAGACCATCATCAGATAAATGAAAATAATCAAGTAGAATAAGCCAATGGCATGGTTATCTTCATTATTTTGAAATCCATTCAGAAATAAAATCCCATATTCCAAGTCAAGCTTCCAAGTGCTTATATATATTCAATAAAATGTCCAATGTCATTGTTGTGTGACAATCCAGGCTTTTCCTGTGCTGATTGCTAAAGCTGGTACAATCATTGTTGTTGGAGGTTCAGTTGCATGCACACCAGTGCCCACATACCATGAGTTCCTAGCGTGAAGGAGTTGGGCCAGGGTGCATGAACCAGCAATATACTGCAGACTACAGTAGGTACCAGTTGTAATGATTTTGTGTATTGGTCCACCACACCCATAGTGCATAGCAGTTGATGACTAATCCAGTATAAGTACAGTATAATGATATTGTCAAGCATATAATGTACTTTAGTCTCACCAATGGATAGAATAATCCCTGTAGCATGTCTTTAACAAACTTCTCTCCATGGGACCCATTATTGAATTGTATGTCAGTATAATAATTGATGTTGACTCTCCAGTACAGAAGCTAGTTATACCAGTATGGTCAATTTTGGATGTGCAGTACATGGGTTG